TCATTCTGGGATTTGTAAATGAAGTGTAGAACCCTCTTTGTTTAGCTAGGGAGAGCAAGTGTTTTAGTTGTCAGTGAGGGGGGCTGAGTAGGGACCTGGATGTAGTAGCCAGAGGGTTAAACCTTGGTCAGGAGCTGAGAGGCTCTGCAGGCCAGGCCCTCTGGAATTTCCCCCTGCTCTAGGGCTTTGGAAGAAAAGTCCCCAGAGGCAGTGGGGGTGGATCTGAGGAGTGAATGGCTTGCACTCTTGAGTGGTCCTAACCAATCCTCAGCAGGAGGTTGGCAAGGGGCTGATACACCCTTTAAAGTGTTGGAGCCTACTTAGTTGCAGGGAGAGTTTGGGTGGAAGACAGAGAGGAAGATGTGAGGCTGAAGAAAGGAGGCAACGAGGAGGCCCAGTGGGATGGGGCCTACCTGTAGGCCTGGACCTGGAAATGAAAAAAGCTCATAGCTCACCGGTCCCCTGAGAGAGGACCACCTGTTTGGCAGGGGAGGTGCGGCCCAGCTGAGACCTGGTAGCAGCCACCAACCCACCAGTGGTACAGAAGAGGATCTGCGTGAGTACACCTACACCCCCTGGGTGGATAGGGGAAGGAGCACTCTGACGGGAAACCAGATTAGCCACCTACCAGTCCCCTGTTCAGGGATACCTCCAAATTGCTGGGTGAAGAAGAAAAGTTCATCTAGGTTCTAGGGTGGTACAGTGCTGCAGAGACGGTTTGGAAATAGTTCCAGAAAGTTTTCCTTCTTCACACACACACACACACACACACATATATATATATATATATTTATATTTCACTGTTTCACGGTATAAATGAACCCGTGTAGCAGTGATTGTCTGTTGTTTTTGTACTATAAAGGGCTTTTTTTTTAACCCCATCATGACAGATGATAAAAAAAAAGCATGATGCTGCTACTTAAATGTCTTATGCTGGCCATACAAGTATTAATTTTTCGAATGAGAATATTCCTGCAAATATTCTTTGTATATTCCATGAATGAATGAATGTCGATCAAAAATTTCACTTGCTTTTAACATTCAATTTCAAATGTAATTTCTGACGGAAAACCACATACAATGTCTGAAATTTGGTTAGACCGAGAAAAGTTTTCTGTTTTCTTCAAATTTTCCTGTCATTGTGGTCGTAAACCAATGCCGATTTGACTCAACTAATGATTAGAAAATAGAATAAACATTTTCAAAATTATCATTTTCAAAGGAAAAATTTGTTGGTGTATGGCCATCATAAGTGCAAGCAGGTGCAGGTAGCTTGTATCGAATTACCTGCTTACGACAAGGGAGTCTGCCATGCATAATATTGTATTGCAATCCTGTCTGAAAATCTGCAAAACAGCTTTTTAGGTCTTTTAATTTTTTTTTTTCTTTAAATAAAACTTTTGATCTCTGAGTCTGATGAAATGTATTAGATTCAAGCTCTAATAATTAATACTGTACATCTCTTCAGTCTGGTATTCTCAGAGTAGATTAGATATTTTGTTTCCTAACCATATAGCTGGTTATTTATATTTACCACTGCATACAGATATTCAAGAATAAATTGTCTTTTTTTACCACACTTTGAGGATTTTATCCGATTAATTGATTAATCAAAACAATATTCAGTCAACTAATCCAAAGTCATGCTGGTAGGTTAATTGGCTCCTGTCTAAATTGGCTCTAGTATGTGTATGTATGAATGTGAGTTAGGGACCTTCAATTGTACGCCCCTTGAGGGTTAGGGACTGATGTGAATGTACAAAAAAAAAAATAATATATATATATATGTGTGTGTGTGTGTGTAAAGCGCTGCATAAATTGATGGCGCTATATAAGTACCTGTAATAAATAACATAATAAATAAATAGATTATGAAAATAATTGTTCGTTGCAGCCCTAGATTTTAATGGTGACTATGTTGAGAAAACAAACACGACGCATTTTCATACTCGCTGCAACCACCTCTCATCATGCAGCAGATAACGGGCCTGCAGCAGCTGACTGATCCCTGACCGGATCTCCAGTAGAAGAACTGGTGGAGTAGAGGGAGAGTGTCCCAATGTGTCATACAGAGGATCTGGTTTCCAGCTCTGGGACAGCCATACAGTTCACTCCTCGTCCAGCTGGCTGAAGCAGAGACAATGGAACGCGAGAAATTCTTGCACGAGGCTGAGTGCAGTGAGTGAATCAATATCTGGACGATGACTTTCGCCCCCTTCACCAGAAAGAGAAAACACGTTGAAAGGGCCCTGGCTTGCCTATTCACAAGGAGCTCATCACGGCCTTTTAGATTTAGACAGTCAAACCATGATATCTTAAACATTAAAACAACTAATACCCAAACTTTTTTTCTCATTTTGGACACAGTAGGGATTGGTTAAATCCCTTGTTGTTGTTTTTTTAGTTTGTGTCCCACAAGGGGGATTTTCCTTTACTTCCTGTCCTGTAGACACAAAGGGAAGTGAGATGAAACCTAGCTCATGTAAAGCAGCCTCCTCTTTGCCTTCACCCTCAACAGTTTTACTGAAGAAACATGTCATTATTTTCTTTTTCATGAATCAGAAGCAGGGTCAGGCGCAGGGGTAGGCAGAAGAGGTAAGCACCTTGGGTACCTTATCAGGAGGGGGTTGCAAAAATGGCCTTTTTAAAGGCGTAGACTATTAAACAATAATGGCTGCCAGCTGGGCTTGAAGATGGCAGAAGAAGTATGCTTGCCTTCTCTTTGAGGTTTGAGACACCGAGTTTTTATCAACAGGCTACCTACCAGTCTGACCCCCGTTTCTATTACATATACATGGAAATGCAAAACAGGTGAAATTGGGCATCTGCACAAGGGTTATATAATTAGTTCTGGTGGAAGAACAGGAAGTCTTAATATCTATGCTAGGCCCTCGAAAAAAATGGTCAGGGAAGGACATACTTTTGCCCTTTCGCCTTGGGGGGCTAAATGACCTTGTTCCAGCACTGATTGGAAGTAATGTTGGCCCTTAAAGATGACCAGTTCAGAATTGGCATTTTAATGAATCTCAGTCCCCACTATTAAGTTCTTATCATAGTGGGGTCTTACCTCTCAGGGACAGCTGTTGGTGATCTTACTTTGATTTTAATTCTCTACCTGTCAGAGCAGAAAGGTCAGAAAGCACAATCTGCACATAATCATCAGATAGGACTGCCCTTAGTTTTGCATGAACAGGGATGTTCAGAATTTTGAAAAATAAAATGATCTACCACACCCACCACCACCAGCTCCTGTTGGCCTATATAGTGCATCAAAGTTTTATGTCTTACATGACAGAGATACCAGAATACACCAAAGCAGAACTGTTAAGGTACTATGAGAAGAAGATGAAACTTCCAACTGCTTTGGGTGTTGTTGGTTTAATACTTTCTGTTGTGAGTAGGATAGGTCTATAGCTCATAGTTGGGTTTATAGCTCATGGAAGCCCTTTTTTGGAATAGTGTAAAGTTTCAAACACTTCATAATTTATATGCACATGGTCTTACATGATCATTAATGGAAACAGAGCACTCTAAGGAAGCCATTCTCAACTCGGGTATCTCTAGAGGTTGCTAGGGGTTCCTTGAGCTGTGACTCATTGACCTTCCACCTGATGGTGCTGGCATAGTTCTGGGGCACTTGGCAGAGCCAGCAGCATGACACCAATGTTCTTTGTAGCTTCCTGTAAGGGGTTAATCAATGTAAGGGATTCGTCCCCTGACCACAATGTAAGGGACATTCGCACCACTGACTACCAATGTAAGGGACATTCTTTCCACTGTCCACCAATGTAAAGAGCATTCTTCCCAATGACCACCAATGTAAGGGACATTCTTCCTACTGACTACCAATATAAGAAGCATTTTTCCCACTCATCCTAGATGTTTCATTTTAGCAGGGGTTTCCTGGGATCTGAAGTTTTTTAAGGGTTCCTCTGAGGTAAAAAGGTTGAGAAAGGTTGCTCACATGATAGAAAAAGAGCTGAAGTGTATTTAAACCCCAATAATGAGCTTCTCTAATTTACTTTCTTTTGATCTGTTAACTATACCGTCAAATGTGATTTGTTACATCTGTTCAAAAAGTGCAAATAAATACCTGTTGATCCTGACAGAAATATTGTGAGTTTATAGATTTCCTCAGCACGCTGCCTGTGCTGCACTTTTATCAGTTATCATTGTACCCATTGTGGTATGGCAATGAGAAGAGAGAGATGTTCAGTAGTTCTTCCCTAGGGTGACAACACTGTGTTGCATTGTTGTACATGAAAAAGGTGACAAGGGTGCTCCCTAAAAGATACAGTGCAGTGAGTGTTGTCACCCTAGAACAGGATCCCTAAGCCAAAAATAAAGGGAAAAGCCTTAACCAAAGACATCTAATGCAGGCACCACATGAAAGGACTGGTATGCTTGGGTTTACAATTCAGGTTTCTTGGGTTTAGGTGTAGTTTAAGCAGATCTCTTGGCAGGAAAGATGATCAGTAGGGATGGAAGGTCAAAGTAATACGCTATTTCCACTTTCTTTAATGTTCCATTCCTCTTATTGGCAGCTTTTCACCCTGCAGCACCTTCCCACTCTTTATTTTACCTGGGTGTCAAGGAGGCCAAACCAGGGGCGGACTGACCATTTGGAAACTCGGGCACTGTCCGAGGGCCCGGGGTCAGTAAGGGGCCCCATGAGATGCCCCTGGTACCTTTTTCATAGGCTTTTTTGAGTTTTGGCAAGGACACAGGGGCCCCATGATCCCTATTGCCCGGGGGCCACATGAGTTGTCAGTCTGCCCCTGGGCCAAACACATAATAAAGTCCAGGAAAATGTTGAGCCTGGACTACTGTAGAACATTAACTTAGAAGATAAAGATTAGATACCTTTCTCTCGATATGTGCATCCGGACTCACAAATTACATCACAAGAAAAAAGAGAAAAGTTTCTTACGTATTCTCTAATTTTGGAACATCTCAAAAAGCAGCCAGTGGAAGACCAAAGAAAATAGGACACATCTTACCTGATCTGGAGTCTCCAGCTTTATGTCTTCTTGAACTTGCTTGACCACAGATGCAGAGCCACACTGGCCAATCTGCTCAGTCTTCTCCACCTTGACTTTGACATCATCCAGGCTTAGGGCAGGAGGCGGTTTCACCTCCTTCTCATCCTTGTCCAGTAGGTTACGAAGAAGCTGATCTTTGGAGTCCTTTTTCTTTTCACTGTAAGGCTCCATCTTTATGTCCGATGCGCTCCCCTGAGTCTGGCTATTGTTGGACCCAGAGCATTTCTTGTCATGGTCTATAGACAGAGTATTTATATCCGAAGGGCTTCCCTCTTGAAGGAGCCGATGCAAAATCTTGTGTCTTTCAGTTAAGGAACTGTGAGAGGATGGACACGTTCCAGTCGTTGAACTCCCACAGCTTGAATTGGAGACGACCGGGCAAGTCAATGGATCTCGGAAGGTTGGATCCCCATCTCGCAACTTGCTCTCTGCAGTGGTTGCCAAGAGCTGAACAAGTTTTTGACTTGAGGCAGCCAATGAACTTTTAGCCTCGCTGTCCCCAACCCGGCTGTCAATGTTATTTCCAATACTGTTCTCCTTAGGCTCTGTTTTTATGGGCTGCATACTGAGCCTTCCAGGGGAACTCTGCGAAGGGGCCTGGCGCAGAACAGGGGATGTCGTAGAAAAGGGGTTGGAGGGGTTGTTAGGTCCATCGTTAATGGCCTGAACAGAAGTGTTCATTGGGGTATTAGAAAAGAGCCTAGGATTGTTATTGTTGTTGCATACCCCACCTGTCATGCCTGGGGAGGGTGAGGAAAATCCTACAGGGGTCATAGGTCCTTCATTCAACATTGGCATGGAGTTTTGGGGAACATTGGAAAAAGATCTGTTGTTATTGTTGTTACAACCACTGCTCGACAAGCCAACAGGGGAGTGCATGGTAGGCATGGGTGGAGAAAAGGGATTACCTGAAACTCTAGGCCGGGACACCAGTCCTGGACTACCTCGTGGCCTTGGAGACATGAACTGGGAAGGACTGATCCCTGGACTGCTCATGGGGGAACTATTGAGGTTTAGGTTGTTACTATTCTGGGGTCCGGCCTGCCCCATATTTAAGGCCACATTGGTTCCAAGCTGACTTCCAGGAGAACATCCGTAGTTGGCTTGGCTGGTGTTGGAACTGCTGATGTTATGGAGGCCGGCGACAGGCTGCTGGTTTATGCTGGAGGTCAGCATACTGCCACTGGATGGGGAGGTGGTAGAAGAGAAGGGCATCCCTGGCGCTGGCGAGATGGTAGAGTTGATTGAAGGACTGAGTCGTGGTAGTGGCATTCCTGAGTTAGTGTTGTCTTGGGTGCAGAGAGAGCTTTGATCCCTGAGAACAAAAATACAGTTTTTCTAATGGTTATGGCATTCTTATTTTAACAACAACATCAAAAATATGTTGAAAATAAAAGGAAGTTCAGTCAGCAATATAGTTCTGTAGAGAAAACCTTAGCACATGCAAGGCACCAGAATATAGATACAGTTCAGCTCAGAAAACCAAGTAAATGTAACATAAAAATTAAAATAAAAAGCTAAAAATCACATCACCTCATCATGTTCTGTTTTTCTGTTACACAAAGTTGCAGCTTAGGAACAGAAATAGCTGCAGAGGCTCTAGTACAGCAATGGGCAAACTACGGCCCGCGGGCCGTATACGGCCCGGCGGACCTTTTAATCCGGCCCGCGGAGCTAGGCTCCCGCAAGGCCAGTGGTCGGCAAGCCGCGGCTCTTTACAAATTTAGATGCGGCTCTCCTGTGTGCGGATGGCCGCCCCCCCTCTCGGATGGCCGCCCCCCTCCCTCCTCTCGGACGTCAGGACTCTGCAGCTGTCAGGATGTAGGCGGGGCAGCGTGACGAACTCCTCTCACAGTCCTCCCTGAAGACCAGAACGGCGCGGGAATACGAGAGGAACGCGCGGACCAAAGGTAAGTGAATTGACACAGGGGGGGGACTTACTATATGGGGGATGAATTACTATATGGGGGACTTACTATATGGGGAATGCATTACTATATGGAGGACTTACTATATGGGGAATGAATTACTATATGGGGGACTTACTATATGGGGGATGAATTACTATATGGGGGACTTACTATATGGGGAATGAATTACTATATGGAGGACTTACTATATGGGGAATGAATTACTATATGGGGGACTTACTATATGGGGAATTAATTACTATATGGAGGACTTACTATATGGGGAATGAATTACTATATGGGGGACTTACTATATGGGGAATGAATTACTATATGGAGGACTTACTATATGGGGAATGAATTACTATATGGGGGACTTACTATATGGGGAATGAATTACTATATGGAGGACTTACTATATGGGGAATGAATTACTATATGGGGGACTTACTATATGGGGAATGAATTACTATATGGGGGACTTACTATATGGGGAATGAATTACTATATGGAGGACTTACTATATGGGGGATGAATTACTATATGGAGGACTTACTATATGGGGAATGAATTACTATATGACTTACTATATGGGGAATGAATTACTATATGGGGGGACTTACAATGGAGGACTTACTATATGGGGAATGAATTACTATATGGGGGACTTACTATATGGGGGATGAATTACTATATGGGGGATGAAAATTAATATGGGGGATGAATTACTATGTGGGGGATGAATTACTATATGGGGGATGAATTACTATGGGGGATGAAATTACTATGGGGGATGAATTACTAAGGGGGGGATGAATTACTATGGGGGACGAATTACTATATGGGGGACGAATTACTATATGGGGGACGAATTACTATATGGGGATGAATTACTATGGGGGATGAATTAACTATATGGGGGGATGAATTACTATGGGGGATGAATTACTATATGGGGGATTAATTACTATATGGGGGATTAATTACTATGGGGGATTAATTACTATGCTTACTATGGGGGAATATTACTATACTTACTATGGATGACACATACACATCATTCATCTACTCTTGGTGCCCCCGGGTCCAATATATGAACCCATTGCGGCCCTCAAGTCAAAAAGTTTGCCCACCCCTGCTCTAGTAGGTGACTTGATGTTGTCAGTTGACACGGAGTAGATTTGCTCTGCAAAATGCTAACAGTAACCATGATGTAGAGAGGTATTATACTGTCAATCAGCCTACATTGGCTGGAGGAGAGGCATTGATGTGACAGCAGGGTTTCACCTCCAACGTACACTCAACTATGGTGAGTATCAGAAAATATTGAGCCTGCCAATAACGTTCATCAAATGCAGCATCCTGTGATGGGGGTGGCAATGATACTGCAATGCTCTTGATTTCACAGCAGAGTTGTCTCCTTCATGTATTCTGTGCCTGCTTTTACTACAGTGGGTGAGAGGGGGGCATGACTATCAGTGGGTGCAGGGGACATGGCTATCAGTACGGTCACTGATGATTCACAAGCCTGTGGTTTGTCAATCAGCACATGGCCACATCAAGTTCTGCCCACTGCCTTTGGATTGGCACCACTGCCTCTGCTGTTGCAACTCTTCCACTGTGAGCTGCAGTCTCTGGGAGAGGAAATGCATGAGACACAAATGAAGGAAAATTTGTCTCAGTCAGGGAAGGTAAAGGACATTTTTGTTTGGTTTATGAGGCATGTGCAGGGGCGGACTGACCATTTAGAAACCCGGGCACTGCCCGAGGGCCCAGGGTCAGTAGGGGGCCCTATGAGATGCCCCTGGTACCTTTTTCATAGGCTTTTTTGAGTTTGGGCAAGGACGCAGGGGCCCCATGATCCCCTATTGCCCGGGGGGCCCATGAGTTGTCAGTCCGCCCCTGGGCATGTGCATCATAATATAACTGGATCTGGGACTTTTTTAGACTGTCATACAGGAGCTTTTACTCACAGCCAGGAAAACTAATGTAAAAACATGGATACAGACATTGCCTACTACACGGAACCAATGGAAAATTGGGATTGATAAAAATATGCGTTACAAAAAAAAAAAACCCGAGCAGAGGGCACATTTCTAAAGTCTGGAATACCTAAAGTCACCTAAAATCTATGGTCTGGAATACCTAAGGCTAGGCAAATCTCCAGCTGTTGCAGGACTATAAGTTCCATCATGCCTCTGCAAGTCATAGCTAACTGTCAGTTTTGTAATCTTTGCAATGCCTCATGGGAAATGTAGTTCCACAACAGCTGGAGAGCCGCAGGTTGCCTACCCTGACCTAAGGTCTAGAACACCTAAGGTCTATGGTTGGGAACACCTAAGGTCTAAAAAACCATGATCTGGAACAAGTAAGGTCTAAGATCTAGAACACCTAAGGTTTGCAATACCTCAGTTCTAAGGTCTGGAACAAATAAGATCTAAAGTCTAGAACACCTAAGGTCTGGAAAACTTTAGGTCTAAGGCAGGGGTGGGCAAACTTTTTGACTTGAGGGCCGCAATGGGTTCATATATTGGACCCGGGGGCCGGACCAAGAGTAGATGAATGATGTGTATGTGTCATCCATAGTAAGTATAGTAATATTCCCCCATAGTAAGCATAGTAATTAATCCCCCATATAGTAATTCATCCCCCATATAGTAATTCATCCCCCATAGTAATTCATCCCCCATATAGTAATTCATCCCCCATATAGTAATTCATCCCCCATATAGTAATTCATCCCCCATAGTAATTCATCCCCCATAGTAATTCATCCCCCATAGTAATGCATCCCCCATAGTAATTCATCCCCCATATAGTAATTCACCCCCATAGTAATTCATCCCCCATATAGTAATTCATCCCCCATATAATTCATCCCCCATATAGTAATTCATCCCCCATATAGTAATTCATCCCCCATAGTAATTCATCCCCCATATAGTAATTCATCCCCCATAGTAATTCATCCCCCATATAGTAATTCATCCCCCTATAGTAATTCATCCCCCATATTAATTCATCCCCCATATTAAGTCCCCAAGTCCCCCCTGTGTCAATTCACTTACCTTTGCTCCGCGCGTTCCTCTCGCCGTGTTCCCGCGCCGTTCCGGTGTAGCATGAAAATCTGTCTCCTATGAGGATCTGCCCCCCTCGACGTATCTGCGCATGTGCCAGTTTCAGGCATTAGAAGCAGATCGGCGATCTCCGGCACATGCGCAGATACGTCGAGGGGGACAGATCCTCATAGGAGACAGATTTTCATGCTACACCGGTCTTCAGGGCGGACTGTGAGAGTAGCCTAGCGGGAGCCTAGCTCCGCGGGCCGGATTAAAAGGTCCGCCGGGCCGTATACGGCCCGCGGGCCGTAGTTTGCCCATTGCTGGTCTAAGGTCTAAAACACCTTAGGTTTAAGATTTGGAACACCTAATGTCTACAACAACTAAGGTCTAAGTTCTGGAACATCTAAGGTCTAAAACACCTGAAGTCTAAGGTCTTAAACATGTAAGGTCTAAAGTGTAGAGCACCTAAGTTCTGGAACACATTGGGTCTAAGTTCTAGAACACCTTACGTCTAAGGTCTAGAACACCCAGTTGATGGGTTTTTAAGGTGACAAACAATCTCTTATATAAATATTATTTTATTTCTTCAAATAACTATCAAAGGAGCAACTCCCTGGGTGATCCACTGGAGATACTTGGAGGACTGTAGCAATATTTAAAATTTACCATATTTTGGATACAATATAAAGAGGACTCAGTTATACTTTCTCTGTGATGCAGTGACACTTTAAACTTCCAAATGTGTGGATCTTCCTTAGAAGACAATGAGGTGTGTTGGAACATTTTTTGATCTCTGGAGCTCTATGAACCCTTCCGTATCCCTTGCCATCTCCTTTCTGGGTGCCCTTTCTTTTTCACCATTACTGAATAGATGGTTTCTATCACATATATATACTGTACCTCCATAAATCTCATGATGAGGCATATCTTCTGATCTGGGAAACACGTAAGCCATTGGCTTCCTACTAATAGCTCTGATGGATGAACATATACCATATGCCATCTTGATATGCCGTTATTTGAATTAGAGATACGTATGATACAATATCAACCAGCTGAGCAGTAGGAGTTTTTTTTTTAGAGTAGATATGGAGTTTCTATGCAGTTTGGGCTAAATACCTGTAAAGGTCATGCAAATGGACTTGAACCACACTGCTTTCCTTATGTGATTTTAATACCTAAAGTAATAAAATTATATTTTTATAAGAGTTGATGTTGGTTTGGCACTTTAAAAATACCATCAACTGGTTGACTCTTAAATTTTGGGTATGTAGGTCAGGGGTGAAGGGAAAGGAGGAGAGGGGGTAGAGACAGATAAAAGAGAATAGGGATGAAGGAAAGCAATCAATGTAAGGAATGGAAAAAGAGAAGGTAAACAGAAAGAAAGGAGGAAAAAAAGGAAGCTGTAGGGGTTGGGAGGAGAGAAACTAAAGGATGGGGTGCTCCTCTGAGTCTAGCTACAGTATTGCTGGACCTAGAGCTTCTCTTGTCATGGTCTATAGGCAGAGTACATGTACTGTATATCCAAAGGGTTTCCATCTTGAAGTAGCTGATGCAAAATCTTCCTGTCTCTTGGTTAAGGAACTCTGAGAGGAGGGGCACGTTCCAGTCACTGAAATACTACAGCTAGGATTGGAAACGATCCTGCAAGTCACTGGATCTGAGAAGGTTGAGTCACTGTCTCACAATTTGCTCTCTACAGTGGTTGCCAAGAACTAAACAAGTATTTGATTTTGAGGCAGCCAATGAACTTTTAGTCTTGCTGTCTCCAATCATTACCAATGGCGTTATCTTCAGGCTTCATTTTCTATAGGTTGCATACTGAGCATTCCAGGGGAACCCTAGGAAGGGACTTGCCATTGAACAGGAGATTTCATAGGAAAGGAGTTGGAACAGTTGCAGTGTCTATCATTAATGGATGGAAAATTTCATTAGGGTATTAGAAAAATGTCTAGGATTATTATTATTGCATAGTCCATGGATAGTTAGAAAAATGCTAGAGGGGTCATAAATCCTTCATCTAACATCAGTATAGAGTTCTGTAGAACGTTGCTGTTACAACCATTGCCCGACAAGCCAATAAGAGAGTGCATGGTGGGCATGGGTGTAGAAAAGAGGGTACTTGGAACTCTAGACTGGCACACCATCGCTGGACTACCACATAGCCTTGGATATATGAATTTATAAGGTTGGAGAAAAGAAAAGAGAAGGAAAGGGGGAATAAAAGAAGAAAGAGGGGGAAGGAAGGAATCCTTTAAAAGAATGACTTAACAAAAGATACAAAAAGAGGACAGGGATTCATCCATCACCTTTCAATGATATGGATCCCCATAATGAAGGGCTGCATGTCTGGGCTCTGTGGGTAGCATAGTTTGCACTTGGTGTGTGCGCTCAACTCAGTGCCGTCACTCAAGGTGAACTTGTAAGAAGGGCTGCAGGCCGTCCCCCTCGTCATCACTGTGGACAATTACAAGACAGTTACAACAATTTTTATTTTTTTTAGATCTATCTGTATTTTTATTCACACAAAAAACAATTGAGTTTCTTTTAAATGTTAGAAGCGCACTTCCAGGATTACTTTGTCTGAGCTTGGCAGCAAATGATTAAAAAGTGAAACTCCATGAAAAAAAACAACAACAGTTTTTATTTTATTGGATCTACTAACAAAGTCAACAGGTAATAAAACTACAGAGGTGATACAAAAACAAAACCCGCTGTGTTAATGCTAGTGACCAGTTTTGTTCATGGATCCACTTTAAGGCTTATTTAGGTAGAACTGATTTGTACAAATCAATCAACAGACCATTCTTTGGAACATCATTGTGACACTAAAGTCTAAGAAGGGAATGTCTAACTGCTTGTTGCTATCGGGTTGTGTGTAACCTCCCTGTAACCCTGTAACCTCCCTGTAACCCTAACACTAACCCTCCCTGTAACCCTAACACTAACCCTCCATGTAATCCTAACACTAACCCTCCCTGTAATCCTCCCTGTAACACTAACCCTCCCTGTAATCCTAACACTAACCCTCCCTGTAACCCTAACACTAACCCTCCTGTAACCCTAACACTAACCCTCCCTGTAATCCTAACACTAACCCTCCCTGTAACCCCAACACTAATCCTCCCTGTAACCCCAACACTAATCCTCCCTGTAACCCTAACACTAACCCTCCCTGTAATCCTAACACTAACCTTCCCTGTAACCTAACACTAACCCCTAACACTAACCCTCCCTGTAACCCTAACACTAACCCTCCCTGTAACCCTAACACTAACCCTCCCTGTAACCCTAACACTAACCCTCCCTGTAACCCTAACACTAACCCTCCCTGTAACCCAAACACTAACCCTCCCTGTAACCCTCCCTGTAACCCTAACACTAACCCTCCCTGTAACCCTAACACTAACCCTCCCTGTAACCCCCAACACTAACCCTCCCTGTAACCCCTAACACTAACCCTCCCTGTAATCCCAACTAACACTAACCCTCCCTGTAACCCTAACACTAACCCTCCCTGTAACCCAACACTAACCCTCCCTGTAACCCCAACACTAACCCTCCCTGTAACCCTAACACTAACCCTCCCTGTAACCCTAACACTAACCCTCCCTGTAACCCTAACACTAACCTCCCTGTAATCCTAACACTAACCCTCCCTGTAATCCTAACACTAACCCTCCCTGTAACCCTAACACTAACCCTCCCTGTAATCCTAACACTAACCCTCCCTGTAACCCAACACTAACCCTCCCTGTAACCCTAACACTAACCCTCCCTGTAACCCCTAACACTAACCCTCCCTGTAACCCCAACACTAACCCTCCCTGTAACCCCAACACTAATCCTCCCTGTAACCCCAACACTAATCCTCCCTGTAACCCTAACACTAACCCTCCCTGTAACCCTAACACTAACCCTCCCTGTAACCCTAACACTAACCCTCCCTGTAATCCCAACACTAACCCTCCCTGTAACCCCTAACACTAACCCTCCCTGTAATCCTAAACACTAACCTAACCCTAACACTAACCTCCCTGTAACCCTAAACACCCTCCCTGTAACCCCCTAACCCCCTTCCTGTAACCCTAACACTAACCCTCCCTGTAACCCTAACACTAACCCTCCCTGTAATCCCAACACTAACCCTCCCTGTAATCCCAACACTAACCCCTGTAACCCCAACACTAACCCTCCCTGTAACCCTAACACTAACCCTCCCTGTAACCCCAACACTAACCCTCCCTGTAATCCTAACACTAACCCTCCCTGTAACCCTAACACTAACCCTCCCTGTAACCCTAACACTAACCCTCCCCCTAACCTAACAACCCTCCCTGTAATCCTAACACTAACCCTCCCTGTAACCCCAACACTAACCCTCCCTGTAACCCCTAACACTAACCCTCCCTGTAACCCCAACCTAATCCTCCCTGTAACCCCAACATTAATCCTCCCTGTAACCCCAACACTAATCCTCCCTGTAACCATAAAACTAACCCTCCCTGTAACCCTAACACTGACCCTCCCTGTAACCTCAACACTAACCCTCCCTGTAACCCCAACACTAATCCTCCCTGTAACCCCAACACTAATGCTCCCTGTAAACCTAACACTAACCCTTCCCTGTAATCCTAACATTGCCCCCCCCGTAACCCTAATACTAACTATTCCTGTAATTCTAACACTAACCCTCCCTGTAACCCCAACACTAATCCTCCCTGTAACCCCAACACTAATCCTCCCTGTAACCCTAACACCCCTCCCTGTAACCCTAACACTAACCCTCCCTGTAATCCTAACACTAACCCTCCTTGTATTCCTAACACTGACCCCTCCCGTAACCCTAACACTAACCTTCCCTGTAATCCTAACAATAACCCTCACTGTAACCCTAACACTAACCCTCCAGTAACCCCAACACTAATCCTCCCTGTAACCATAAAACTAACCCTCCCTGTAACCCTAACACTGACCCTCCCTGTAACCTCAACACTAATCCTCCCTGTAACCCCAACACTAATCCTCCCTGTAACCCTAACACTAACCCTCCCTGTAACCCCTAACACTAACTATTCCTGTAATTCTAACACTAACCCCTCCTTGTATTCCTAACACTGACCCCTCCCGTAACCCTAACACTAACCTTCCCTGTAATCCTAACAATAACCCTCACTGTAACCCTAACACTAACCCATCCAGTAATCCTAACACTAACCCTCCCTGTAATCCTAACACTAACCCCTCCCTGTAACCCTAACACTAACCCTCCCTGTAACCCTAACACTAACCCTCCCTGTAACCCTAACACTAACCCTCCCTGTAACCCTAACACTAACCTTCCCTGTAACCCTAACACTAACCCTTCCCTGTAACCCTAACACTAACCCTCCCTGTAACCCTAACACTAACTTTCCCTGTAATCCTAACACTAATTCCTCCCTGTAATTCCTAACACTAACCCTCCCTGTAACCCTAACACTAAACCCTAACACTAACCTCCCTGTAACCCTAACACTAACCCTCCCTGTGCTAACACTAACCCTCCCTGTAACACTAACCCTCCCTGTAATCCTAACACTAACCTTCCCTGTAACCCTAACACTACCCTCCCTCCTAACATAATCCTAACACTAACCTTCCCTGTAACCCTAACACTAACCTCCCTGTAACCCTAACACTAACATCCCCTCCCTGTAATCCTAACACTAACCCTCCCTGTAATCCTAACACTAACCCTCCCTGTAATCCTAACACTAACCTTCCCTGTAACCCTAACACTAACCCTCCCTGTAATCCTAACACTAACCCTCCCTGTAATCCTAACACTAACCCTCCCTGTAACCCTAACACTAACCCTCCCTGTAACCCCAACACTAATCCTCCCTGTAATCCTAACACTAACCCCCTGTAACCCTAAACACTAACCCTCCCTGTAACCCCAACACTAATCCTCCCTGTAATCCTAACACTAACCCTCCCTGTAACCCTAACACTAACCCTCCCTGTAACCCTAACACTAACCCTCCCTGTAACCCCTCCCTGTAACCCTAACACTAACCCTCCCTGTAACCCTAACACTAACTCTTCCCTGTAACCCTAACACTAACTCTTCCCTGTAACCCTAACACTAACCCTCCCATTAACTCTAGCACAAGCTTCTTGTAGCCCTAATACCAACTCACATTGTAATGCTAATCCTAACACTAACCCTCCCTGTAATCATTAGCATTAACCCTTTCTATTACCCTAACACGAACCCTCTCTGTTTACATAATTATCGCTCCTGCATCAGGATCCTGTGCACAGAAGATTAATCATTCTTGCACCAGTGCCAGAATTTCTTGCTACGTTGTGGCAAGAATGCGTGACTCACAATTATGGCTGAACAGAATCACTAACATTTTTGGCAGATATACTGATTCAATACATGTATTTCAATTGCAGATTCTGCTGCCTGCCTGGAGCACAGCTTGAAATGACCTATCAAGTGAACCGAACGTTCATCTAAAAGGCTCAGTTATGCCGTGTTTGTATTTGGATACCCCAACCCGGAGCAGACCCTACACTCACCTTCTTGAAAGAGCTGTTTGGCATAGGATGGTTCAGAGCCCTGAGCTTGAAAGAAAGCATAGATACACTTCCTGACCAGGTCTTCCCAGCCAGTACTACCCGAGGCTCTCAGGGAACTCGTGTCAATAGAGATTATTTTACCTAAACAGAAAAAAGAAAACACACAAGAACTCCGTTACTGTAAGCCATTCCGTAAGAAAACAGACATTTTTTTTTTTTATTCCGAAGAGAAGCCCCCCTATTATAAGCAACAAACCCTGGAAAAATGACAAGATTGTCTTCGTTCATCAACATAATCATACTTAATGTCAGGGATTTGGCCTCGGCCGAGAGGAAAGAACTCTAGATGCGGGGCAAGGTTTCCAAATCGAGTGTTTGCACAACCTCTCGTGTGTTCTGTCAATGGGCCAATAAAAATAAGTGGAGAGCGAAGTTGTTTGCCAGCACTCATCTTCGTATGGCGCGCGATCTGTGTTATCAATTTGTCGTTTGTCGGCATCTTGTGTGCGGCAGCCAAAAAAGGTGTGAAAGATGACACATAGGATTGTTTATAAATATATTCTTGGTTTCTTTGTATATTTTAAAGTATAGAATCTTATCATTTTACTTTTTATATGATTAAATTTTGTGTCTTCACAACCATATGTGTACCAATCTCATGTTTTATAGCCCTGAAGGAGGGGATAATCTCTGTACCCCTGAAGCACATTGGATTCTTTATATTGTCTTGTGAACGAATGCTGTACCAGCTCTAGCAGTTTTATGGAACATGCTCCAGTGTCTGTCTGTCTCCTACAGACTCCAGTCTCCAACCCCCATTGAATTTCTGGAAATCAAACTGATACCAGTACCAAAACTGGCTGCAATTATCCCCAGAGTCAGCACTGGGCAATGCCACTGCTCAGGTCTTCAGGAGGGCTCCCCATGCAACTTGGAGAAATAGACCTTCTCCTCTACACCCTTTCCAATGAGGTCTATAAGCTTCCTCCCTGGAAACGACCATGATATACATCCTCTACCTCATTGTGGACTGACTTCATTTGGAAGTGACGCCTTCCCTTACATGTGCGGCTGACACCATATTCACACACATTGATGGGAACTAGGGGGTCCATGTGGTTGTCTGGTGGATCCATGATTGAAACTCAGTGCGGTATGTGTGGATGGCAGAAGATACCAGCTTCATGTGACTTGTTATTGTTTTACCAATCACTACATACAGTATATACAGACTAATTCAAATATACGCATCTTCTCCCTCAAGAAGGAGAGTCTTTCAGCAACATGTTGGGATGTATTTGAGAACTACACCTCAATTGATCAAGCTACACCCTTGTTGGCAGTATCTCTATGTAAAAGGTACATATACAATCACATGGTGTCATGCTATATATAAATGTCATTACTAAGATGTAATAACGATATAGTTTTATTGGACCTATGGGTCTGTTTTAAGATCCTTATATAATGAAAATTGGCATTTGCATTTTAGATATTTTGTACTTGTGATTCTGCCTACAAAGCCCCAGGGGGATCTTTTCTTTTGTGTTTTGTACATCTCCTACCTTGGTCTTCAAACAGATCTGTACTGTGCACCCTTCCCAATGAGAACTATAAGCTTCCTCCCTAAAAAGGATCATAACATGCCTCTACTGTAATTTCCAAACAGACCTTCCGATTTGCACCCTTCCCAACAAGAACTATAAGCTTCCTCCTCAGAAAGGACCTTAATATGCATCTTCTACTGTGGTCCTCAAACAGACCTTCCCCTCTGTACCCTTGCCAACAAGAACTATTAGCTTCCTCCCCAAATAGGACCATGATATACATCTCTTACCTTGGTCTTCAAACAGACCTTCCTCTCTGCACCCTTCCTAGGTAGAACTATAAGCTTGATTCCCAGAACCGACCATGATATACATTTCCTATCATGGTCTCCAAACAGACCTTCCCCTCTGCACCCTTCCCAGGTAGAACTATAATCTTGATCCCCAGAACCGACCATGATATACATTTCCTATCATGGTCTCCAAATAGACCTTCCCCTCTGCACCCTTCCTAGGTAGAACTATAAGCTTGATCCCCAGAACCGACCATGATATACATTTCCTATCATGGTCTCCAAATAGACCTTCCCCTCTGCACCCTTCCCAGGTAGAACTATAAGCTTGATCCCCAGAACCGATCATGATATACATTTCCTATCATGGTCTCCAAATAGACCTTCCCCTCTGCAGCCTTCCCAAGGATAGTTATAATCTCCCCAGAGAGAGATGAGATACTGTTTTTGTTTTGAATGCTAAACATCCTCCCCTCATCTCCTGATGCTAGATCTGCAAGCCTCCCGATCTTTGTGTATACAGCCCAGACCATTTGGTATGGCTATGGCAACAAACCTGAACTACCCTATATGAACAGGGAGAACATGTACCCTGGAGTCTATTATGTCTCCTCAGACTTCATTGTCTTAGGTTTGTGGACTCGGTTCCAGTTCTCTCTTCTATGGCCTCTATGAAATCTTGCCGCATGCAGCTAAGGCTACCAGTCTCTAACTCCTCTGGGAGTCTCCAACTTTTCTCTCTAGTAATTCTCCAGTCTATCACAATATTCTTTAGCAATATTTATTATAAATATTATATATAGCCCTTTGGAGACAGCAGGAGCATTTGAGGCCCCCATATTCTTGTAAGTCAGTCTGGGCCTGCAATGACAGATGTCAAAGCATGGGAAAGGAAAGGGGCAGAGGTAAAATGTTACATTTACAAAGCTGTCCTGGATATATTAAAAGAGCTAATGCATTTTTTAAAAGCACAGTTATCCTTTTATGATAAAACAGCTGGGAAACCACCTGCCATAAAATAGTGTCCAACAACAATGCAGCCAGATGCTCCGCATTCCACCATCAGTCTTGTATAAACCGGATCGGGTTTGTAATGATCTTATCAGCATTTTCATTACAGAAAATGTTAGGAAAAGGTGAACACGCAAAGTGCGGCTTTTACAATCTGTTTCTTGCTAATAAACGTCTGCTGCTCATTTCACCATGCAAACCAAAATGTCTGTACAAGATTTTCTCTTTTTTACCAGCTCCAAGTCTCCAAGCTACCCATCCTGAAATGTGAACTTACTCTGGCTGCCACAAAAGATGCCAGTTGTCAAAGCTGGTGAACTTCTTCCAAACCTTTTTTCTTGAACACTTTTTTTCCAGTAAAACAGGAAGGGTTACATCCTTTAACGAGGTCCTAATTACTGGGTCTTCCTGTCCCAGGTACAACTGCTCCCCTCATTGCCTGTCCTTCTGTCACACGGTTTCAGCAGGAAATGCTTAGATGACAACTGTGCCAGATTTGCCATCTTGGACCTAATGATGCTGTGTTCGGGGCCATGTCTTGGGATCACAGTGTAAACTTTATGGTGAACGGGGGCCTTCAATCGGTGTTTCACACATAAGTAGAGGCAGGGTTTGCTTGAACCACTACAGTAAGTGGATAAGCTCTGGACAGGAATGGAAAGTCACTGGCTGGGCCTGAGTAGGTCTGTGTGTGTGGTTAACTTTGTCCCAGGCACCACACCTGAAATGCTGAAGTATAGAATTGAGATGTCCTCAAAAGGGGTAAAAGAAAGCAATAAACTTGACACGTTTTACTCTATCCAATATTTGAACAGAGTTTGGCAGTTGGTTCAAATATACTTAGAGGAAATGGCATCATCTGCAAATCCAAAGTAACCAATCCAATTTTCTCTTTAATCATACTGTACTGCCACATCTCATTGCTATACTGCAGACTGCTGGTTCCATGTTCCATCAGTGGGGTTCCCAGTATTTCTTTTTTTACTGGGGCAAAGGCAGTAAAGGCAAACCAATGACATCAAAAGGAACACAGCTGCCTGTAGGCATACAAATCTCTTGGCACAGCCTAGCTTGGGGACCCTGGGAGCTTGCCATGGGCCACTGTGCTCACCTGTAGCGTCTTGCTTTGTGATGAAAGACTCAATAGCGGAAACAGGAGTGGGCCGAGGTAATCTCCGCGCAATGCAGATGAGACACGACTGGAAATCTGCCAAGGAGACACAAAGGCATTGGTTAGCATATTGTATAGCACACTGAAATCACTTCAGGCTTATACCTATATAACTGCTTTGTTTTGGGACTGATATAGAAGACTTCCTAAAGTGTAAATTCTGATCAGATAAATATGCCAATAAATAGACCTTTGAAAGTGTTTTTATAGGGGGTCTATGATATCCTCTGCTATCTCCTAAATATGAACCTTCGTACTTTACACAAGAATCAATGGAAAGTTCTTCCTAATATTCCTATCCTAGGAATCGTTCAAGTGGAGACAACCTTAATACGTTATACATATCTTTATGGCCACCAGGTTAACCATTGCTGGAGCCTGGAAGACCCTCTGACTGATTTTCGATAAAGTAAAAGAAAATATACATTTTATAATGATCATTGAGAAACTAAAAGGCCATCAGATTAGACACACACAGAAAATTCTTGAAAGGGTGGCAGATTAGTATATCATATGTGACCAACTATCCCCTATAATGTTTTGCTATTTGAATGGCAGGCAGTGAACCCATGGTATTAATCCCTTCCCCTATTTTATTTCTCTCTCTTTCTTCTGCTCTCTCTCTTCTTTTTCTCTACCCCTCTTCCCATTTCTTCTTGCCCCACTCTCTCGTTCCACTACCTTTCCTAAGTCCTCTCTAACTATCTTCACCTTGCTAACCCTTCCCTTACCTAACCCCTTTGCCCTTTTTACCTGTCCTCTTTCCCCTCCCCCTCCCCTCCCACTGCCTTCCCTCTTTCTCCCCTCCCATTCCATTCCATTTTCTATGGCGCAACACCCAATGGGCCCCCTTAGAATGCCTTCTGTAGACCAATTTATCATCAAATGGGCCTTCAAGGACCACCTGACCTCTCTCGTCTCCTTTTGTCTCCCTTTTCTTCTTATTCCCTCTTTCCCACACCTTCCTACCTCCCCTCCCTTTACCTAAGCCCATTGCCCTACTCACCTGCTCTCTTTTCCCCCTTCCATCCCGCCATCTGCCCTCCTTCTCCCCTCCCCATCCTACTACCTTTTCTACAGTGCAACACCCTCTCGAACACAGCCTCTGTAGACCAATTTACTATCAAGTGGGCTTTTGAGAACCATCTCAATACCGCCTATCTCTTGGAGACAATTCAGTCTTAAATGTTGATCTCCTGAATGTGTCTGTAGGATGTTATCTGGCGTAGTCTCTTATATGGTTGTACTTGATTGTAAACTCAAAATTCAATAAAATCTTTGTGAAAGAGTTTTTTATATCTGTATGATAGTTGCAAAACATACTTGTTGACCTAAAAAATTTAGAGATGCTCTTTGCACACTTCCTGGCTAAGGATGATACCTTTCCTTAAGATTCCAGTCCACAAAATCGTGTATGTCATCAGCCCACAACAGGAAATTTGAGCTGAGTGCCTTTTTTTGCAGATGGCACAGTATTTTTTTGTAAATTAATGCCATAAAACATGGGGTAATATGCATGCATTGCATAGATGTACTGCATATTTTTTGTTTGCCCCAACATACACTTTAAGAGACCAATTGAGCTCTACCGTCATCACACTGCATCCCTTATTTGCACAGGATCTACACGGGACATAAATGATTTGAGATACCAGACAAATCAGCCAAATGCACGTATGCTGCTCATATGGATCAATCGATCTAGTACCTGGCAGGAGGATGTTTTTGCTTAACTTGTGATGGCTGCAAGTGTTAGTCAGTCTTCAAATTGTTCTTTGTGGAACCCCTTGAATTCCAGGCACAGCTTGGTCCCTCAATGTCTGCTCAAGAGTAATTCCTATCCCCTCCCACCACTGGTATCCACATTTCAAGTACCAAAGCCTTTACTGCCCCATTAAAGTTCTAGCATTTAACAGCAAAGTGACCAAGGATGGAACTTAGTCACAAGACAATGTGAAGATTAAGATTTCACCCCATCTATCCCTCTTGCCCATTAACATTTTTTTTGTTCCTCGTTAGCACCTCTTTTGCTAATGGGGACTGGTGATTCAGTGCTGCATGCCAGACCTGCTGCCACCAAATGATCTTGTGGTTGAACATCTTTGTGATGCCCATCACATTGCCTTTGGCGTTCTCAGGCCCCCACCCTTCAATGGAAAGTGTCCATGTCACAAGACAGTGACAATCACACCTGAAGAAGGACCCTCTAACTCTACAGCATAGATAAGAGTCAAGACCCTGGAGTGTCATGTGACCATGGGTGTTGGTGGGTATTTGCAGCATGGATGAGTTGTAGTGTTTGTAGGGGAGAGACTCTGATTGAAGCACAGCTTTGGTCATGATTTGTACAGAAGTCAAGTCACCATGTACAGCTTGGCCCTAGGATCCAAGATGGTTTCACGGGGGCACAAGGATGGATTTGAAGACCAACAAGAACCTACTTTTCTGAGCTGTTGATACTGTTCCAATCTATGCTAGGTTCACTTTAATGCACACCACCATTTCCAAAAGAGTCAAGCAGGCACACCCTTCCAAGCATCAGAATCTACAATAAATTGTTTCTGGAACTTCGAGAGAAGGGGGCACTGAGAAATGGGGTCTAATATGGATTGTTCCTTTAAGAAATACACGTTACTCAGTTGACTGCTCTGGAAAATTACTGTGTATAAATGTCAACTTCAGACTGCTAAATCATCTTACAAAGATATGATATTTACTGTGGAAACTACTAAACTGGTTGGTCAGGTATTTGTTTCCAGTTCTCTGAATGTTTATGCAGTTTCTGTAAATGTCTCTTCAAACACATGAAATGAAACATCAGAAAAACTGTGCCACAGATCAACGACCTTTTCTTGCAAAATTGGGTTACCTTGTGATTTGTTCAATGTCCCTCTAACTCAATTATATAACATTTGGAAAATAACATGCTCTCCCCATCCTATTACACAATTGTGACACACGTTGTGTACTGCTTCTTTATAACTGAAACCATATTCCAAAATAAGTACTCCCCCCATCCTCCCCACTTTAAAATGAAGCCAGTAATACTGCCTAAAATCAGCTGTATGGTAGATATCAGACTGAGAGTGGGAGGTTCTACACTGTGAGCCAATCAGATGCTGCTGGGTTTTACAACTGCTATCTTTCTAACCTGTTTTCAGGCAAGGGGGCTATTCAGGACAATTTGATTGAGTGACACTAATGCTGAGGGTTATTATTGTGGCCATTCACACCAACAATGGGGATTAATATTGCGACAACCAACACTAGTACTCAGGTTTATTATTTTTGCCACTGACACCAATGCTGAGAGTAACTATTACTGCCACCGATAATGGGGTCTATTTCACTTCTATTTCCTCTTCAGTGTGTGTAAAAATTACAGCAGGACTATAATTTTAGGTGCATTCCCAGCAGGAGTAAGGTAATCTTGATTCCTCTACAAAGATCTTTATCTCTAAGGGGATCTCCAGCAGATCACCAGCAGGAGGAAGGAGGTCCTGATTCCACTATATAGATCTTTATATCACTAGAGGGATCACCAGCAGGAGGAAGGAGGTCCTGATTCCTCTATACAGATCTTTATATCACTAGAGGGATCACCAGCAGGAGGAAGGAGGTCCTGATTCCTCTATATAGATCTTTATATCACTAGAGGGATCACCAGCAGGAGATCACCAGCAAGGAGGAAGGTCCTGATTCCTCTATATAGATCTTTATATCACTAGAGGGATCTCCAGCAGGAGGAAGGAGGTCCTGATTCCTCTATATAGATCTTTATATCACTAGAGGGGTCACCGGCAGGAGGAAGGAGGTCCTGATTCCTCTATATAGATCTTTAGTTATCACTAGAGAGATCACTAGCAGGAGGAAGGAGGTCCTGATTCGTCTATATAGATCTTTAGTTATCATTAGAGGGATCCCCAGCATGAGGAAGGAGGTCCTGATTCCTCTACATAGATCTTTACATCACTAGAGGGATCACCAGCAGGAGGAAGGAGGTCCTGATTCCTCTACATAGATCTTTTACATCACTAGAGGGATCACCAGCAGGAGGAAGGAGGTCCTGATCCTCTATATAGATCTTTACATCACTAGAGGGATCACCAGCAGGAGGAAGGAGGTCCTGATTCCTCTATATAGATCTTTTATCACTAGAGGGATCACCAGCAGGAGGAAGGAGGTCCTGATTCTCTCTATATAGATCTTTACATCACTAGAGGGATCATCAGCAGGAAGAAGGAGGTCCTGATTCCTCTATATAGATCTTTACATCACTAGAGGAATCACCAGCAAGAGTAGAGGTGGCCATAGATGGATCAAAATTCAGCCAGTTCAGCAGATACTGGACATATCAGGAGGTCCTGATTCCTCTATATAGATCTTAAATCGTTTAGAATATTGTGTCCAATTCCAGAGATCTCACTCACAAAAAGATATTGAGACGATAGAACGAGTCCAGATACGGGCAACACAAATGGTGAAAGGTCCAAGAGATAAACCATATTCAGAGAGACTTCAGGAACTTCTAAGTACACACTATGGAGGAAGTTGGGGGACATGACTGAAACCTCTAATTGCATGAAGGGCAAAGAGGGGCAGTATTTTCAGTAATGAACTAACATCAGGAACATAGTGTGACATGACCTCCAACTAGCAAGAAGAAAGTTCAAAGTGAACTTTAGAAAATGTTAATATTTCACTGAAAGAGTAGTTGATGCTTAAAGTTAGAGCAGAGGTAGTGAGCCAGTGATTTTAAACATGCTTGGGACAAACCTAGATCGATATTCAGACAAAAAGGGTTAAAAAAAAGGGGGGTAGACTTGATGGACCATTTGGTCATTTTCATTCTCCTATATTTCTATCCCAAGTATCAGATGGGAGCCACTCACATCTGCAGACTGCAGCGATAATTCCTATCCGCAGCACCTGTGTATCTGTGTATCCTCCGCCCAGGATCAGACCTCCAATTACTGCCCATTATCCCTGATAATTGCTTCCACCGATCTAATGGACAGCAGAGCCGAGGACCGTCTCTCCGGCAGTGCGGATTCATATTCTCCGGTATGACTTGTTTTTCTAGAAATTCTGATGTTACATAACTGCTGGCCTGTAGTAACCTCAGACTATTCTGTAACTGTACAATGCTCCTGTACTGCACAGAGATCCCTGCGATCGCCGCCAATTCAAACACCGCACAGGAAGTGGTGCAGTCTTTCGTCAATGCCGTAATAAAAAGGAAACAAAACAGATTTTGTCAGCATGAAGGAGGATGTGCATCGGGGCTGATGGATCCCTTCCCCCTCCTGTTTTATCTGTTTCAGGATTGGTATTTCTGTCCATCCAGTCCTGAGTTTTACACAGCTCTGCCACACAGCACAGCCCTGTCCAGCAGGGCAGGAGGCCCCCTGGTGACCCACCAACAGCAATATTTTTCGAGGGAGGGGGGAAGTATCCCACTGAAATCCAAAAGATTTCAGGTATTATTTTTCTCTGGGGGCCTCAGTTCCACGGACACCAATGATTTGAAGTCCTATTTTTTTCCGAGAGTCACTATCCCACTGACATCAATGATTTGGAGGGCTGGGAGGGTTCAGCTCTGGTGTCCACTATTCCACAGACACCAATAATTTGAAAATGTTTCACTGGTGCCTTCAATCCCATCGATACCAATGATTTGGGGAACTTCTCCTCCCTGATGTCTCCTATCCCATTGACACCAATGATTTGGGGATCTATTCCTACATGATGCCTACTATCCTACTGACACCAATGATTTGGGGTGCTATTCCATATTAATGCCTACTATTCCATTAACACAAATGATTTGGGGATCTATTCCTCCATGATGCCTACTATTCCACTGACACCAATGATTTGGGGTGCTATTCCTCCATGATGCCTACTATCCCACTGACACCAATGATTTGGGGAGGTATTCCTCCCTGATGTCTCCTGTCCCATTGACACCAATGATTTGGAGTGCTATTCCTCCATGATGCCTACTATCCCGCTGACACAAATGATTTGGGGATCTATTCCTCCCTGATGCCTACTATCCCACTGATACAATGATTTGGGGTGCTATTCCTCCCTGATGCCTACTATCCCATTAACGCAAATGATTTGGGGAGCTATTCTCTCTGATGCCTACTATCCCACTGACGTCAATGATTTGGGGTGCTATTCCTCCATGATGCTTTCTATCCTATTACCACCAATGATTTGGGGATCTATTCCTCCCTGATGCCTACTATCCCACTGATACCAATGATTTGGGGTGCTATTCCTCTCTGATGCCTACTATCCCACTGACGTCAATGATTTGGGGTGCTATTCCTCCATTGATGCTTTCTATCCTATTACCACCAATGATTTGGGGATCTATTCCTCCCTGATGCCTACTATCCCACTGATACCAATGATTTGGGGTGCTATTCCTCTCTGATGCCTACTATCCCACTGACGTCAATGATTTGGGGTGCTATTCCTCCATGATGCTTTCTATCCTATTACCACCAATGATTTGGGGATCTATTCCTCCCTGATGCCTACTATCCCACTGATACCAATGATTTGGGGTGCTATTCCTCTATGATGCCTACTATCCCACTGACGTTAATGATTTGGGGTGCTATTCCTCCATGATGCTTTCTATCCTATTACCACCAATGATTTGGGGATCTATTCCTCCCTGATGCCTACTATCCCACTGATACCAATGATTTGGGGTGCTATTCCTCTATGATGCCTACTATCCCACTGACACCAATGATTTGGGGAGCTTTTCCTCCCTGATGTCTCCTATACCATTGACACCAATGATTTGGGGATCTATTCCTCCTGATGCCTACTATCCCACTGACACCAATGATTTGGGGTTCTATTCCTCCATGATGCCTACTATCCCATTAACACAAATGATTTGGGGATCTATTCCTCCATGATGCCTACTATCCCACTGATACCAATGATTTGGGGTGCTATTCCTCCATGATGCCTACTATCCCATTGACACCAATGATTTGGGGATCTATTCCTCCCTGATGCCTACTATCCCACTGATACCAATGATTTTGGGTGCTATTCCTCCATGATGCCTACTATCCTACTGACACCAATGATTTGAGGTTCTATTCCTCCATGATGCCTACTATCCCATTAACAAATGATTTGGGGATCTATTCCTCCATGATGCCTACTATCCCACTGATACCAATGATTTGGGGTGCAATTCTTCCATGATGCCTACTATCCCACTGACCCCAATGATTTGGGGTGCTATTCCTCCATGATGCCTACTATCCCACTAACCCCAATGATCTGGGGAGTTCTTCCTCCCTGGTGGCCACACTGTTCCACTGACTCCAGAGATTTGAGGGTCTATAATCTTGCCTTCCCATACTTTTCTTGTGTGAATATAAACTTTTTATTTTTTACTGTTAAGGAATGGAAGGTTTTGGAGGAATCTTCTGGGCCCAGGTCCCACCAAGGTTGAGATCCACTATCTTGGAAAACATGAATGGTGTACTGATGGATGTCACTTGTTGCCCGAAATAGCTTTAATTTTTCAGACGCAGTGGCTAGACCAAAACACATACATACTTCAGCTTACACGAAAGCTTGGATCTCGGCTCCCTTTCTCCTATACGACTTGAACAGACTTGTCTCTGCTCCGTGGGTTTGTTGATAAAGGGTTTGATTTAGAATGACACTTGTATTCAAACTCTACATACTTCCAAGAAATACATTTCTCTTCAGCCTGGCTCAGCACAAACACTTAGCTCGTACGCCTAATGGACTTGTTCGCTTCCAGCCTTAGAAGCCTGTGTGAAGCCTCAGAGGACATTTGAGGACACGTACCGATTTATAAAACATAAAAGGCTCTAGACACAACAGTAGAAGCGGTCTAAAATATACACAAGGTACCTAAAATTCTCAGGAAAAAAGCAAAGGTGCCCTAAGCATGAACAGATAAGAAAAAAAAATTAGAACCTGGGGTTTTCTTCAAAAACCTGGGAGCTCCACCAGTTTAGGCCAGGTGCCATCATTGCATATTGCATATAATACAAATCGGGACAACAATGTCCTACGATGAGCCTAATGGACGCTAGCTGCCCCATTAATCTTCTCTGCCTGTTGGGAGTTCTGCACAGCTACATCTCAGCCAGGTGACCTCAACAAAAAGACAAGAATCCAGGACAAAAAAAAGGCAGATGGTCCACTTACCTTCTCCTTCTTCTTTGAAGGATTTGGGTTGGGATACAGTAAAGCACTGCATCAGCTCGTACCGTTGCCGGGCCTCCTGGTTCTCCGTTCCCACATCGTCTGGAGGCCGAATCAGCATTCTACAATTTAATGTATGGCTGTTCCGTCGGTTGGCTTCCTGGGACCAGGGGACACCGTTCACTGGAGACAAGAAAACAAAATGAGAGCCAAAAAGATAATTATCGTAGAAAAACTGGTTTTCAATACTGCACACCATACTGAATCCATTAATCTAAATCTCTGACCTTTCCTTCAGTCTTGCACAATTGTACCGGCTCCTCTCCTGGACTGAAATGGCTTACTCTGGTTTATCTGCATACTGCGAGCGTCTCACAATGTGCATTCAAATGTTAGAAGGTGCAGTTAGCTTGCTTGTCACTAGGAGGCTCTGTTCCCAGTATAGAATAGCCCCTTTCCAACCTGCTGCAGTACATATACTGCGGATAGATGGGCGGCTTCTGCAGGCACAGTAATGTACCTGTACACTGCTGCCTTATTTCGGGTTCAGGGCGCGCTTGCACGCTCCCATCCGCCGGCTCTGCTGTGATTGAACAGGACTTAGTCAGCAGGTCCGGGCCAATGATACATGGCCTGGACCTGCGGATGGGCTGTGTCCAATCACAGCCCAAAGCCAGGAGTGTATTTAGAATTTGTGGTGCCCTGAGGCAACACAAAAATCTGCCACCCCCTAGCCCCCCCAGCTACGACCCAACAGCACCCCATGGCCCCTGGTGACTCCTGATCCCCCCCCCCCCGGCAGCTCTGTTACTGGAGTTTCACGGCTGCTCCCATGGCTCCCCTCACTCCGCTCTGCTGCCCAGGAGAACCAGCCACCATTCTTCTGGGGGGGGGGGGGGGGGGGGGGGGGTAGCGCTCCCTTTACTATGCTCTGCAGCCCAGCCCAGGTGCTAAGGAGAACCAGTGGCCATTCTCCCAACTTACATCCACCCATCAAAACATTTTGATATTTTAACAACTCCTCCCACTGCTTGCATCAAGGGTTAGGGCTCCTGAGAGAAGTATTGAGGCAAGGTGCTGTGAAGTTTTGTACAGCACTCTGCTGGCCCCTCCCACCAGCCAGGGGTGTATTTACCACAAGGCATTTGCCTAGGGTGGCATTTTTTAGGGGGCAGCACTGCCCCCCAGAAGAAGGGACATATGCGGCATGGGGACTGGGTGGGATCTGAGAGAGGCTGCGGGTTGCTTGATGGTGTATGCAGAGCCCGATTGTCATTCCCACGGATGTCCAGAGCTGTGAAGGTCTCTCTCTCTGTTGCTGGTGGGGGGGTGGGTATTTGTGAAAGGCTCTCTCAGGTGGGGATGGGGCAGGGGGTGTTGTTGGTCACTATCAGGCTCTCTCCTTGGGGAGGGGGGTCTGGTGTTGGTCGGTGTCAGGCTCTCTCCGCTGGGGAGGGGGGCGGGCGTCTGATTTTTGTGTTGCCTAGGGCAGCACAAAACCTAAATACACCACTGCCACCAGCCATAATTTGCTTGCATTGCATAGAGAAGCACAGAGACCTAGAGGCTCTCAAATAAAGTATGCAATGAAAAGGTTTTATTTAAAAATGAGGGGGGAGAAAGGAACCAGCAAAAATAAGCGCATTGAATGTACTTGCTGTGTACAGCAAGTTGCAAGTGAAGGACAAAGCCTTTGCATAGGAATCAGTGTTGGCTGCTATGCCAACGCAAACACAAAAGACATACATTGTATATATAGAAGTCCAAAGTCTGACACCTTGGTTGGGCTTAGTCATACATGCAGTCATATGAAGCACATTATAAATCTTATGACGGCTAGATGCACACCATATAGCTTGTGCACTTAAAATTAATATTCCAGTTGTCATGACAGCTGATTTGCGACCTTCTTCTCTACTTAGTGTGAGCGATGCAGAGCATAGACAACAGCGTGTGAGACATAGGGAATCATTTATTCATACGTTCCACGTTCTGTTTTTTTTTTTTTTTTTTTGTGTTTTTTTTAATGCTCCTACTCTGCAGATCAGTAGAGCCAGAGCTGGGACAAGGGGTGGGCAGAAGGGGAGGCTGCCCTGGGCGCATTGGTTTGCTGTAGGGATGGGGGCGCCTTCCTTCTGTTACAAGGCTGACAGATATAGAGACCGTGGCAGTGCAGTGGGGGTGCAGTTTGGCATGTTCACCCTAGGCACTGGATGACCTTGTCCAGGCACTGAATAGAGCACAGTGTATACAAAAATGTTTTCTCTTGGTGGCCACTCCGGCACTCACTGATCATGCTTCAATGGCACTTAAGGCATGCTAAAATGGCATACAATATTACTGACTGAGAGATACTGTAAGTTGGGCTTGTTCTAAGTGTTAAGACCTTAAAGAGTATCTCCACTTTTGCGGAGGAAAAAAAACCCCAAAACATTCCCCTTTGGGTGATCTATCCACATTGCTGGGATTTTAACAAACTTTATAGCAGATTGCTACATGTTGTTGTTCTGTAGAAATAGCGGATTGTTTCATTAGAATGATTCTGAAAGAGAAGGTCTGGGTCACCTGGAGCACTCTCAGGGTTCTGACGAGAAAAGCTGCAGGGTCTGCATCCCCTTGGGGAGTATCTTGACAAAACTGAAATTCCTATTGCAGGCAGTGCTATTAAATCTGACTTGTATCTTAGTGCAGAATTCCGGGACAATCAGTGAGCCAATCACACAAGCAGCAAATTAAGTTTTTCTGGGAACGTTCTGTACACTGACGGTATACAGAATGCTTCCAGGTTGCCATATTGTACAGATTTGTTTTAAATTATTTTGCTACATTTTTTTCCATGGAAGTAATCATAAAACGATATCCTTATTTTCTAAAAATAATTCATACACATCCACTACCTAATGGACCTGTAATCTATTTTTTTATGAAATTCTTTCTTGTGTTTTTCTGCCTCCTTTTAACGTTCTCTGTCAGCTTCTGAACCTCTCCTTAATTGCAGTCTTGTGCACTGATTTATGCATGATACCAATTCCATAGTCCTTAGTCCATCTTGGGAATGGGATCATGGAGAACTAATGTAGCCACCCTCTAACAGGAAGTCAGGAAAAAAAAAAGTGTTGGGTTCATCTAGAACTCAGTTAATGGTGTTGGGTTCATCTAGAACTCAGTTACCGGTGTTGGGTTCATCTAGAACTCTCTATCAGTATTGGGTTCATCTTGAACTCCATTATCATTGTTTAGTTCATAATGAACTCCATTATCAGCGTTTGGTTTATCTGGAATTCAAATATGAGTGTTGAGTGCATCTAGAACTCAGTCATCAGTTTTGGGTTAATCTAGAACTCCATTATCAGCGTTGGGTTTATCTGGAATTTAATTATGAGTGTGGTGTCCATCTAGAACTCAATTATCAATGTTGGGTTAATCTAGAACTCCGTAATTAGTATTGGGTCCATCTAGAACTTAAATTATCAGTGTTGGGTAAACCTACAACTCAATTATCAGTGTTGGGTTCATCTAGAATTCAATTATCAGTGTTGGATTAATCTAGAATTCAATTATGGGTGTTGGGTTCATCTAGAATTTAGTGATCAGTGTTGGGTTCATCTAGAATTGCATTATGAGTGTTGGGACCATCTAGAACTCAGTTATCAGTGTTGGGTTAATCAAGAAACCAGTTATCGTTGTTGGAATCATCTAGAACTCAATCATTTTAGGGTTCATCTAGAACTCAATTATCATTGTTGATTTTATCAATAACTTAATTATCAGTTTTGGGTTCATCTAGAACTCAATTATCATTTTTGATTTTATCAATAACTTAATTATCAGTTTTGGGTTCATCTAGAACTCAATTATCAATGTTGGGTTCATATAGAATTGAATTATGAGTGTTGGGGCCATCTAGAATCAGTTACCAGTGTTGGGATTTATCTGGAACTCAGTTATCAGTGTTGGGTTCATCTAGAACTAAGTTACCAGTGTTGGGTTCATCTAGAACGAAGGTATCAGGGTTGGGTTCATCTAAAACTCAATTATCAGTGTTGGGTTCACCTAGAACTCAATTATCAGTGTTGGGTTGAATGACCCACCTCTGAAAAGATACATGCAGACCATTCTATTTACTACTAAAGAACATGTTCATGACATTTACACACCATACACATGTGGTGGTGTGCAGGAAAAGCCAGCTGAACGAACATAGTGTGAACAAGCCCCCAAGATCTGAGAGTGATATCAGTGTAAGGTGTTAGGTCCGTTACCTAGAGATTTGGGGGAGAAGATTTTTGACAAACTCATCATGGTCCCCAACATGCAGAATGCTGTAAATGCTGTCTTTCATCAGCTCCTCCTGCTTGTAGCCCAGATAGTTGGTGACGTTTTCCGAGACGAACACAATACGGCCTTCCTGGTTCACAACGAAGAAGAATCCATCCAGAGCCTGAAAGGAAGAAAATGAGGGAAAGTTTGTCATTCTGTTCACAAATCTGTATAGAACAGTCCTTAGCCCTACACAGAAAATATAATATCTGTCATTTACAGTAGGAAACCAATGTCAGCTCCATATTCCAACTCTGTCTACGGAAGACCAGGATAATGTGTGGTGCTGTCTTATGTTAATACCATCAGCAATTAGTAGGTTGATTCAATTGTACATTGTCCATCAAACAAACAAAAAATGGGACACATCTCCACTTTTGACTCTATAAGATGGATGTTGTACAATTGGAATTATCCAATTATTAATAATTTTTGAAGACCAGAAGCTCACCTATACGAAGTTAGGAAGTAGAAAGTTAATGTTGGAGAGGTCAAGCTGAACTTCAAGAGTTATCTTCATTGTCAACTTAGTCAAGCTTGACATGATGTAATTATCTATTTCTTATACTGGGAGGACTTCAGGGGATGCGGAAACCCAATGCAAGCAGCTTCCACTCTGTGCATGGACCACAGGGGGTTTCTTGCTGGGCACTACCGCCATTCATTAAACATCCTGCATCTTTTTAATCAATACAAGGCATTCTTTGATTGGATGAGGGTAGATCATGATGTCACCTGCCCCTTCCTCTACCATGCAGAGAACACCTTGTATTCGTTGTTGAAAATAATTACAAGCTGTTCCCTGAATGGCGGCGGTGCTGAGCGACCCTGCTGTGGTCAGTGTGCAGAGGCGAATCTGCTCTCACAGGACTCAGAAGATCGTAGATATTGCTTTATGTAGGATGAGTCACTACAGTGGTTTCCAGCATCAGATATAAGATATGGATAATAACCGTGCCAAGCTGGACCAATGTAAGATAACGGAAGTTTAGTGAACAGTTCCTATTCCCATACAAACAGTTATACACAACGTTTCCCACAGGAATATTCTAGTATAGTGTGGCTACTACTCTTTATCTTATGTGCCAGGGGCCTCCAAAATATGATCCAAGGACCACATCTGGCTTGTTACAAGAATTTTTATCTGGCTGGCAGAAACTATCCTTGAAAATACCCTGGCCGGCTGGGGATAATCTGATGGTCACTCCTGAATCTAAGAAGGGGACTCTGATGGTCACTCCTGGATCTAAGGGGGGGGCTGAGATGGTCACTCCTGGATCTAAGGTAAGGGGGACTCTGATGGGCATTCCTGGATCTAAGAGAGGGTCTCTGATGGTCACCCCTGGATGTAAGGGGATACTCTGATGGTCACCCCTGGATGTAAGGGGGTACTCTGATGTCACTCCTGGATCTAACAGGGTACTTTGATGGTCCCTACTGGATCTAAGAGGGTACTTTGATGGTCACACCTGGCTCTAAGGGGGGACTCTGATGGGCACTCCTGGATCTAAGAGGGGGTCTCTGATGGTCATTCTTGGATGTAAGGGGATACTCTAATGGTCACTTCTGGATCTAAGGGGGTACTCTGATGGTCACTTCTGGATCTAAGGGGGTACTCTGATGGTCACTTCTGGATCTAAGGGGGTACTCTGATGGTCACTTCTGGATCTAAGGGGGTACTCTGATGCACACTTCTGGATCTAAAGGGGTAGTCTGATGGTCACTCCTGGATCTAAAGGGGTAGTCTGATGGTCACTCCTGGATCTAAGTCTGGGTCTCTGACAGTCACTCCTGGATCTAAGAGGGGTTCTCGGCTGGTCACTCCTGGATGTAAGGGGATACTTTGATGGTCCCTCCTGGATCTAAAAAGGGTACTTTGATGGTCCCTCCTGGATCTAAGGGGATACTTTGATGGTCACAACTGAATCTAAGGGAGGACTCTGATGGGCACTACTGGATCTAAGAAGGGGTCTCTCATGGTCATTCTTGGATGTAAGGGGATACTCTGATGGTCACTCCTGGATCTAAGAGAGGACATTGATGTAAGAATGTAAATAAGGACATTTTACAAAGCTGTTTTTTTGTCCTGGAATATTTATAAAATCCAAATTTTGGCCCTCATACTAAAAAGTTCGGAGACCCCCTCCAATATACCAAACAGATATATGTGTACTGGGAAGAGGGAGTTGTGGTAAAGTGATGACTACCTGGTGTCAGAGGTCAGATATAATCTGACACCCCCTAATGAGATGCATTTTGAGTGGTTGAGCAGGAGATATGTTTGGAGCATAATACACAATCTATTATTAACATCAGAGCAAAATATGAGTGGAGTACATCTCATCCCATTCCTCTTTAGACATAGTAAGTAGTAGGATCTACCATGTAGTCTGAATAGGCTAGGAGGTAAATCTAGCTCATTGTGTAGCAATAGAGAGTGGAACTGACCCTTTAGGTACCATGCAACTTTACCACTCCTATTAGTGGGTATTCAGAGATTGCAGCCATCAGTAGATCACTATTAGAGGTGATCTGTTGCTGCACAGCTTCAAGGGGGGCTCTGGATCTGGTTTCCATTGACCAGCACGATTTTACACTTGTGTTAGCCCTCTGAAAAATTATTCCTAATGGATCACTTTTCAAAGAGCATTTGGCAGGTGGTGAGGGGCCATAGGTCTCCTTCTCACCACCATTGCACAGGAACCATGTTTGTGGCGTGGCCCTGCTCAGTTGTTTACAGGCACTAGTGTCAACAGAACATGATTGAGGGGGAGACAAGTAGTTAAGGGGGAGCTGTTGGGGGGCAAAAAAATGCAGAGGCCATATTACGTTTCATTGCATTTTGTATTGGAACGTGTGTTTTTGCCAAAACGCAGAAATGATGCAGCAAGAAAGATTATTCTGGAACTCAATGCACTAATGTAAAAAGCTTTATGGATTATAATGGTAACTAGTTATAATAATCTTTTAGCACACTGTGGCCCTGCACTGTAGTACATAGAGAGCGCAATGATGTGAATGGGCCCTAAAAGGCATAATATGCGCAACCAAGATATCTCCAAATCAAAAGAAAATCAGAAGTAGGCTTATTGCCTTAAGTACTTGGGTCCCTGGGAGAAAAAAGGCCCATGGTGGTTAAGCCAACAAGCTTATGGCAGGAGAGCCTGGAAAGGGTTAAGGGCGCCCTCGTGCCTCTCTCCGCCTAGATGTGCAGGCCCCGGTGACGTAGCACTCACAGCTGTTCACGGCGTTCCTCCATCGCTGCGAGATGGGCCTTGTTGTGCTGCCAGCACACATCCTTGTTATGTCACGGCAGGGAACAGCCTGGAAAGCCGAGCATGCAACCCTTCCAGGCCTCCAATCAGCAATGCTGGCTGTTTGACTGGCCCCGGGCCTAATACAACAGCATCTAATGTACCACGGTAATTATTAACAAGTGCTATAGCCAAAACAGGAAATATGAAAACCACGCTCAACTGTGAAAAGAAATCTCTGACATCCACTCCCAGCACACACAGGGCAGGCCTGGGCCAGCGAATTCCTCCCATTAACTCTGTGGCGGCCATATTGCTAATGACGGCCTGCTCTGTGCCGTTCAAGCCAGCTATGGTCCTCATTAACCTTGATATGGCTACCACACTCCCAGCACACACAGGGCAGGCCTGAGCCAGCGGATTCCTTCCATTAACTCTGTGGCAGCCATATTTCTACCGACAGCCTGCTCTGTGTGGCCTAGGCCAGCTATGGTCCTCATTAACCTTGATATGGCCACCACACTCCCAACACACAGGGCAGACTCGGGCCAGCGGATTCCTCCTGTTAACTCTTTGGCAGCCATATTGCTAATGATGGCCTGCTCTCTGTAGCCTAGGCCAGCTATGGTCCTCACTAACCTTGATATGGCCACCAAACTCCCAACACAGAGGGAAGACCTGGGCCAGCGGATTCCTCCTGTTAACTCTGTGGCAGCCATATTCCTACCGACAGCCTGCTCTGTGTAGCCTAGGCCAGCTATGGTCCTCACTAACCTTTATATGGCCACCAAACTCCCAACACACACAGGGCAGACCTGGGTTAGAGGATTCTCCCCTTAACTCTGCAGTGGCTATATTGCTACCGACGGCATGCCCTATGTGGCCTAGGCCAGCTATGGTCCTCATTAACCTTGTGATGGCCACCACATTCTCAGCACACACAGGGCAGGCCGTGCCAGTGAATTCCTCCTATTAACTCTGGGACGGCCATATTGCTACTGATGGTCTTCTCTGTGTGGCCTAGTTCAGCTATGGCACTCAACCTAGATATGGCCACCAAACTCCCAGCACACACAGGACAGACCTGGGCCAGAGGATTCCTCCTGTTAACTCTGCATCTGCCAAATTGCTACTGACAGTGTGCTCTGTGTGTGGCCCAAGCCAGCTATGGCTCTCATTAACCTTGATATGACTACCACACTCCCAACACATGGCACGGTAAGGGGTTAGAAGAGAGGTAAAAAGAGATTTACTCTTTGTGGTGGCTGTAACACTAGAACAGGAGGATAAAAGTTCTGATGGCAAGATGACTGTCCTTGACCCACCTCTTTCATTCATTGGATTTCAGGCCTTTCAATCATGGAGGCTCAGCATTACATGTGGGAATTACTGAGGGTGGTCAGCATACAAATATGGTCTGCCTAAGAATGCTAACTCCTCCAGACTAAAACCACCCTTCTAGGAATTTTAGTATGTCCATAACTCCTCTCAAGGACCAGCCCACTGCTTACATCAGGGCTGTGGGATCTTGAGAAGAGTATTGAGGCAGGGAGCTATGATGTTTTTAGGAAGCTATGTACAACCCTACCACCAGCCATGATATGCCTGCATTGCATACAGAAGCACAGAGTCCCAATGATGACACCATCAGTTTGCTGCAGTCAGGAGGACGCATTTCTCACACATTAAAGAAAATGGACATTCTTTGGAGGATGTGGGTGAGCATTTTGGACAAAGAGGACAACTAGAGCATAAGAGGCATAAAAGAGGTAATCTATGTAATTAACAACTATCCCTGAACAGAGGTGGGGGCCTTCAACACCATCTGACTTCCACATATAATTTCTTTTTACATCTCTACCCTGGC